ATTGAATGCATGAGTGGGAGGCAGATGTGCGTGCTTGTAGGTAGCTGTAGAATTTGGTATTCAATCGGCACTTAATCTGCTTGGACGCAAAGGCTCAGATCATTGGAAGGCTGGAAGCCATGGTTGCATTTCTGACTTCCAAAGCATCCAAGTTGATTCAGGGCCTTACCTCTCCTCTCATGCAGAATGTGGGCCTGCTCAGGGGGTGACTCATCTCAGGTCACTAGGTGAGTCTTCGGCTGAGCCGGGACCTGCCTTCGGTCTCTGGCTGCCTGGTTCATGGCTCTTCTATGGAGTTTCCCGTCTTCCTTTTTAGCTTCTGCCCAAGCTGCTGAAAAGATCTCCCTGGCACATTTGCCTCTTCTGCACCACCTCGCCAGGCAATCCAGCAGCTCTAAGCAAATTGTCCTGCCATGATAGAAGGGTCGGACTGTGGAGCTGGGACGCTGGTCAGCCGTGGGGACGAGCAGGCTCCCTCCAGAAGGCCCTGCCACAGCCCTTGGAGAAGGGCTGGTGCTTCGTCTGGTTGCTTTGTGTGGGGATGGGTTAATATGCTGGGGATCAAACAGGCCTCACACATGCTGGGCGAGCCCCTGGCCACCAGCTACACCCCAGCCCAGACCTGTGTTTTTGTCTTGCCACTTCTTTTAACAAGAACAAGGTGCAGGGCTGGGGTGTAGTTCAGTGTCGGAGCATTTGCCTGGCACGCGCAAGGCCCAGCCCCCCGGAACAGACCACAGTGCCCAGAGAGCCGGTGCAGGATGGCCATCTCGGATCACACCGCCGAGGAACGCCGGTCCCACACTGTGAGTCTTTTTCATCTGAACATGTAAATAGATGGCGTTACCTACCCCAGAGGTGCCCAGGTCCCAGCCAAAGGTGGCCATGTTGGCTTGTATGGCCCTGTCCCCTCCACCCTGCTGGCTGGCGCCTGGCTCAAACGTATCCCAGGTCCATCTGAAAGTCCCCAGAGGAGCCACCCATGAGGTAGCAGCCACATTCTTCCACTCTGACCTCCATGGATGTCCCCTGCTCTAAGTCCCCTGAGGGTGGCTCCTGCTGAGATCCCTGTGGTGAGCCTGCTGGAAAACTTAGTCCCCTGCCCTGGGTGGCAAACCCTGGAGGCAGCAGGTGTCCAGGCGTGGAGCAAGGAGAAGCTTCCTTCCAGAGCTGCGGGCACCGTTCAGGGCCTGAGGCAGCCCTCTGTCTCCCCAAGTCCTTGGCTTGCAGCTTTTGGAGGACATCCCTGCTCTGTCACCTGGTACCATTCTTTTCTGAGAGCACCGTTGCCTGCCCAAGAAGCTTCCAGTAGGGTGAGCCAACTGCCCCTCAGCCTGGTCATAGGTTTGGGATGGGACCCAGGTTTGGGACACTCTTTTTTCTCGGATTTTCTGAGTTAGCAATTGGGGAAGAAAACAGTCTCTCTTGGGCAGCAAAGTTGTGAGGTAGGAGGTCAGAGTTGCTTCCTGTGGCTGTATAGAGAAGCTGGTCTGCAGGAAGAATGGGGAGCTAAAGTTCAGAGAAGAAAATCACAGGAGACTGAGAGAGAGCATTCTGCAGAAGATTTGTGCCTGGATCCAGCTGTGCCTGAAGCCAGGTGCACACCTGCCCATTGTACGGTTTAGTGCATGAGCCAAGAACCCTCCCCCCCTTTTGCCTAAGCTCATGCCAGTCACGCTGCTGTCCCCTTCCACACGGAAGTCTTGATGGACACAGAAATGGGCATGGGGCAGCATACAGACACCACTGCCCTGTGTCTATCCCTTGTCCCTGAAATTTGGAGCCTGAAACATTAAGGGGTGCTACACTGCTCTCAACCTGCTAGTTCAGGCATGACCAGATCCCAGAATCTAGCCTAGGCTCAGCTGGCAATTCTCAAAATGACCATTTAAATAACATCAGGGCCATTTGCCAGCTTGTACCATAAGGTTTCAGATTCTTCCCCACTAGAATGTGAGCCCCACCAGGTAGAGGCTGGGCTCTTAGTGGTGTGATCTTGGGCAAAGTCTCTTATTTCTAAAATACGGATGCTAACTACCTCCGAGGGTCATGGGGTAAATTAAATGAACTAATGCATGCAGAGGCACTTGCTGCTCTTAGTCACTGTTCATGGTGGACAGTTAGTGTATTGCATGGGCTGGGCACCAAGCCGACACTCTGTAAATGTGTCCAAGACACAGCTCCTGGTGTGTCTACACTGTGCCAGAGGGACACAAGCACACACACACACACACACACACACACACACACGCACCCACCCAAGGCTCAGGTCTCAGTGCCAGTGGCCATTCTGGGATCCTAGGGCATCCCCAGCCCCTGGCTTCTCCTGAGGCAGCCTGCAGTATTTCAAGGCACTGGGCTGTCATGCCAGCAGCTCCGCTTTGCTGGGAGTGCAGTTTACAGCCTGACTGAGCCCTGAACCATGAATCAAGGGCAGCAGGCCCTGTGGTGTCCTAGGAGCTGGAAAGTGTGTAGGGGGAGCTGGTCAACCTGAGAGAACAAGGGGCTTCTTGGCTTCCTACGCTGCTGTTCTCTGGAAGCTTCCCCTCCACATTCCCGGGAGCCTCCAGCCTCTTCCAATCCCCCAGCTCCCCAGCAGCACTCAAAGTCCTGCCTGCGGGCTCTCTTGGGGTCCAGCTGGTCTCTTTGCTGGAGGGAGAAGGGCTTGTCTGTGGACCTGGTTGGATTTCTGGGTTTTCTGTCTGCCTGAGCCCAGCACTTTCAGAGGATGCCGAGGCCTGACAGCACCATCCACGCTCAGCCCCTCCCAGAGCCAGTGTTTCTGTGTGCTATGCTTAGGAGCTTTAGTCTCTCTGGATGTTCAAGGCCGGCATGTTGCATGCTGTGCCGGTGGCCCTAGGGGTCTCAGGTGGGGTGAGGAGAATGCTTGGAGCGTGGTGTGTTGGAGACAGTGCGTTTGGCCAGCTCCAGCTGTGAGTGCGGAGCCCAGCATAGTATCAGGGCTGTGCAGAGCGCTGCTTGTGTGGAATGTCTTAGCGAGCTGGTAGGTTGCCAAGGGGCTTGTTTTGGGTCACGCATTATGTTCAGGGCATTAACCCTTTGGGTGACTACCCAAGGTCCCTGGGCTCTAGGAAGATAAAAGGGGAGAACACCTCTCTTGGGGGGCTCCCAGCACTCCACACCCAGCTTCAGGTTTCCCTAGATCCAATGTGCCCAGAGTGTCTGAGCTGAAGCTCAAAAAACCTGGTGGGGAGGTGGTTGGCAGGAGCACACTAATCTGGTGTTCTGCGGATTTTAAGGCTCCTGTGTCGCATCCCACCACTGATACTTCTTTGCCATAGGGATCCCAGGGCCGGTGCGGAGTTCCCAAGCCGCAAAGCTTTCTGTGCCCAGCACCGCGCTCTCAACAAAGGCGACCGACCACGTGCCCTTCTCATCGCGGACCTGGAGTAGGAACAGCAGCGGCTTCCGGCCCCGGCTTTCGCCAGGGCTGGGTGAAGAAGCTGTGCGGCGCCCGGGTGCAGCGCGGAGCAACCCCCAGCAGCCCCGCCGCCCCCGGCTGTGCCTCGCCCACTCCCTTCCGCAACCGCTGCAGCGCCCTCGAAGCGGCGCTAGGGGGAGCTCTGGCAACTGGCTTGGTGGATTGAATCAAAACCGTGCATCCAACAGCTATTTCCTTGGACTTGCAGGGGGAAAATGGGGAGGGGTGAAGACGCACTGTTCCCCCTCCTCAGCAGCTTCAGACTCCTCCCGTGGGAGGCCGAGGAAACAGCCCTGGGGTGTGTGTGTGTGTATGTGTGTGTGTGTGAAGGTGCCTTTCCTCCTCCCAGTAACTCACGCCTCCAGAGCCTCCCTCTTTCCCCCCACCCGTGTCACGGACCTTCACTGCCCCCTGCGTTCTAGAGAGTGTCCCCGAGAACTTTGCCTCGATCGACACCGGGATCCAGAGCCGAGCCTTCCCCCGAGACTGGCTTGTGTTCGCCTCTCGGAGTCTGGGCTGGGCTGTCTTGGCAGCAGCCCCTCCTCTCGCTGCGGGAGGCGTGAAGGCTGGGTGGGGGGCGCGAGCCGTCCTGCCGGTGGCTGGGAGGCTTGTGCAGGAAAGGGGAGCGCGGGGGCGAGCCAGCGAGGGCTTTGGGGAGACAGAGACACCGACAGAGGCACTATCAAACAGCAAGCAGGCTGCTGCTTTGCTTATTACCACCCGCCCCCCGTCCTGTTCTTTCTTGCCTATCCCCTCTTTGCAAAGCTGGAACCACCCCGCGAGCCCCCAGGCCTGAGCCGCGGTTCCAGATGTGAATTTGGTTCCAGTGGGGAGAACGCGAGCTTCCTCCGGGCCTTGGCACATTCTCCCACTCTGAGGTCATTCCGTAGGTGGTCAGAGGGGAGCGCGCGCCTGGAGCCTTCCTGCCTCCATCCACTGGGGAGGGAAGAGAGGCGGGAGGAAAGGAGAGGAGAAGGAGAGGGGAGGGGCGCGAGGAGGGAGGGAGCCGCCGCCAGCACACCACCAAGTGGCACCGAGCAGTGATAACAAACTCAACTTAAAAAAAAAAAAAAAAGGAAAAAAGAAAAGGAAAAAAACTTCCCAAGTTGCAGCCGAGACATGCGGACGTGCGGGCGGAGGCGCGGGGTGGGGATTGTGGGTGGCCCAGAAGCCCCTCGGCGTCCCTCCACTGCGGAAAGCTCAGACTTGAGGCCGACTAGGCCCTTCACCCGTGGCTGCGCAGGGAACCGGCTGGAGGCTGGCTAGGTTTCCTGCAGGAGACCTCGGGGCGGCCGGTTCCCATGGGGGACAGGACCCGCAGGCGAGGGGGTGGGCAGGAGGCGCGCGGCACCGGCTTCATCCCCCCAATAACACCACTCCTCTCCCCCTTCCCGCTCCCACCCCCAGCCCTGCGGATGTGGGCAGATCCCGCCCGCCCAGGCCCTGGAGAGCTGGGGTTTGCCTGGGTGTGTGTGTGTGTGTGTGTGTGTGTTTCCCACCTCCCTCTATCCTCCCGGCTGACCCCAGGCCCATACGAAAACAAGGCACCACCATACTGTACAGTCGACTTTTTATTAAGATTATAAATTTAAACAAATAATCTGAACAGTTTTATCCGGTGATATACAATTCAGTATGCACAAAAATACAGAAGGACGAGGGAGAAGGGCCGAGAAAGGGAGGGTTGGCGACTTGTTTTGGAGTCCGCCTGATGCTGATGGCAGAGAACCAGAGGGGCTGCAGAAGAACCCCACCTTTTTACAACAAAAGGATTTTAAATTAAACAAAATCTATCGAGCTGAAGACACAAGACAGGGTTCTCACAGGCTCGAACAATGCTGGTTTCATGAAATGCAACCTAAGACTGAACCAGGACAGTGCAACTTAGCAGCACACACACAAACACAACAGCTGACCAGGAACTTAGTGAAAAGTCTCCAACGCAGTCGGCGGTCCCGGCCCCTCCCTCCCCTGGGGCCGCCGGGGATCCAGGTGAAGAAATCGACTTCCTTTTTTGTTTAGTGAGGACCGCAATGCTGGGCATGATGGGAAATGTAGTCCGCCGTGCTCGCCCCCCACCCCTTCCCCAAACAGTGTCCAAGAGTGTCGGGGTGTCCGGCGCCACCCCCGAGTCCAGGAGACGGGTGGAGGAGGGGAGAAGAACAGAGCCAGAGGGGCGGGGAGAGGAGGGGCTCAAGACACCCGCCCCGGGAAGAAAAGAAAAAAAAAAAGTTGAAGTGTTTTCATTTCTGCCTTCTCATTTTGAGAACTTTGGAGGCCGCCCCCAGAGAGGAAATGTGACCCAAACGTCCCTTTTGGAGATTGAGTTTGCCTTTGTTTTTTGCTCAGGATTTCACAAGACCCATTCCTCACGCCACGGAGGAACTCAGGAGAGCGGAACGTCGGGCTTCCCGGGTCTGACAACTGATTGGAATCAGCGTCTCCGGCTCCGCACCTTCCTGCGCTGCGCCCCCGGCGCGCCCCTGCGGCCCGGGCGCCCTGCCTCGCCCCCGGCTGCCCGGCACCTCCTCCGGGCAGCAGCCCTCCCTCACGTGGCAGGCTCCTTGCTAAACACCACTGCAATCACTACAATAAAAAGAAGGGGAAAAAAAGAGTAGGAGAAACACAAAGCATACTTAAATAGGCGCTTTTCTCTCTGCAAAAATAAAGTCCAAGAATTTAGATTTCTTTTTTTTATTTTACAATTTATAAAACATCAGCTGCCTCCCCCTGGTCGCCCCCAGCTCAGCCCCGAGTGGCCAGGCGCCCGCTCGCTCCCTCCTCTCGCCCCTTGGCCGAGTCTTTGTCTGGCCCCAGCCCCGCGGGGCCCCCGGGTCCCCGTGCCCTCCGGGGTCCCTAGAAGGCGACAATGGCTCGAGTCCAGGCGCCGAGACTAGCGAGCGCCTGCTTGGCGCACAGCTGCCCGTTGAGCGGCGGCGGCTGCTCGGAGGAGTCCGGCTGTCGGCTCACCAGCCCGGAGAAGCCCGAGCCAAAGATGGAGATCAAGTTTGAGATGTTGGACGCGTCCGGGGACGAGTCCGGACAGAAGTCCTCGAAGCGGGCGCGCTTGCAGGGGGCGAACGCAGCGCCCCCGGGGGGCTCGGCCCCCAGGTCGCCCGCGTCCTCCTCGTCGTCGTCCTCTTCCTCCTGGCCAGGGTAATACTTGCGCTTGCAGCCCGCGGCGGACGCCAGGCCCGGTCCCGGAGCGCCCTGGCCACAGCAGGGGCAGTGGGCGGAGGCGCAGCAGTCCTGGTGCAAGTAGCCGTTTTCCACCGTGGTCACCACGTGAGTGTCCAGGTCCAGCACGGTGGTCTGGCTGCTGCAGTGAACGCCGAAGTCCGAGGGGGCCGGGTACGCGCCCCGGTAGAAGCCAGGGGAAGAGGCGGGGGCCGGAGAGGCTGG